ACGAGTTAAACTAAGATGGTGAACATGCTGATTTGTTTTCCATCAACCTGTTAGCATTGTCACTGTGAGCATGTTGCCGTTGGATCAGTATATAAATGTGATGGGTAGAGCTCTCCCCTCCCCCCCCTGCCTGTTTGGCCACACCACCTTAATTGGTGATGCCTAACAGGTGTGACCAGGTGCTCTTTAAATGGGAGCTTTTGCCCCACTAGAGCTAGAGGGGGGCTTGCTGTAGGTCTCCCACGGCATAGGCACAGCACTCGCCACGTGCGGATGGGTTTGAGCGGAATCTAGAGGTATGTCAGGGGTTTTCTGTTTCATGTTTTAATATGCTTTTTATCAGTGAAATGTTTATTGGCGTTATTTACCTTTTCTTTCTTTTATACAGGAAATGATCAGGTGGTGCAACGCTGAGCCTGGTCACTGCTGTTTTTGCCTTTGATTTAAAATAGATTATGGTTACCCGGTTTATATAGTATCTTTGATTATGAATTGCTAATTTGTTTTCTTTCTGGGTTAGTGTCTTTGTTTTGTCCTACATAAACAACCATTACTGCGCCCTATACTGGGGGTCCCTTTAATGCCAGTGCAGGTGGGCATATAGTAGGCCTACAGGGGGTGGCTCACGAGGTGGAAGGCCCTTTCAGTTTATTTTGTTTGTTTGCTGTGTTTTAATTCTTTTTGATTTGCTGTGTTCTTTCCCTTTGACCTGGTGGTGGCCCCCTTGTCCCCTTTCACTCCCCCGCCCCGGTGGGCCTCAAGTAGTCACCTTGTACTGGTAGGGTACCCCAGTATAGTAATCCTTTTTCAAAGCATAGATTATATTTTGCCATAAAACCGACCAATGTTTCTGGATTGATTATTCCTTTTCTTTTAAATATTAAACCTACTTGTAAATAAAAAAACATTGTTACAAAACTGGAACTTCACCTCTCTGCTCCCTTTTCTTTTTCATTACAACTGATATACTTTGGGTGAGAGTCCCAAAGTGACGTTGTCACCCTTGTGGCCAGGCGAACGGCCGCCCCGGTTACATATATATTGAGTTGTACTATGATGCAGACGAAAGACGTCAGCTGAAGTCACTATTGGGCTAAGTTAAGTTATCAGTACCTCACATTCTTAGTTTACAGAAAAGTAGTGGAGTAAAAGCAGAAAATGAAAACTGTTAATTAGCCTTTAACTATTTCGAATAGAATAAACATTTGTTCTACATACAGAAAACCTTTCTGTTGCATTGCAATATGACGCCTCTGTCTAGTTTCTGATTTTATCAGACTTGTTTTTGAGTTTCACTGATACCAAACAGTTGTTCATAGGCCTTAACTGTTAACTGTTGATGTTTTTCCACCGATAACCGATTTTCTGGCCTCAGATTGTGGTGCGCTGGATTCAAACTCCGCGGTGATCTGTATCAGGTTGCAGAGGCTGCTGATGCTTTATTAGATGTAGATGTTGTCACTGAGTCTGAAAGAGGTGGATCGGGTGGGACAAAGGTAATACAATCATGTCAGTGTTTGCCTGACAGCAGGAGGGCGTGAGCGGGTCTTCAGCTTCGTTAATCTTGTTTAATGGAACGGAGAATAAATTCATTTTGCCAATAAAAGTCCAAAAATATAAAAGTTATGTTTGTTATGGAAGCCACTTTGTTTGTCACCACTAAAACATTTGCATTCACATAACCAGGAAGGGGCTAGTTAGTATTACGTGTGGCGGTGTGATATAAAGGGACTTACTTATTAGATCTCAATCTATGTTCATCCAGATACTTAGTACAGTGTTAAACTTTTTTCCATTTGGAAGAACAAACTTTTTAAGAATAGGGTTAGGTTCAGCCTGGCTAAAGATACTTGGTTAACAGAGTTTATTTATTAATCCTTGGAGCTGTAGTTATAAACCAACCTTCACCTGCTATTGTACAATTTAGTGCAGACTGTTTATTTTCTAGTATTAGTAATAGTTCCCAGTCCTTAAAATGTCCTTGTAGATATGATCAAATAACAACATTAAACATTTGAGTGTTTCTGTTGTCTTGTTTTATTACACTTATGTTGACACCTGAATACTGAGTGCATTAAATGTAAATATAGATCCATACACACATGAATATGAATAAGAAAAATCAACGGAAAATATGGTCCCACCTGAGTTTATTAAAATTTGGCTACTCTGCAACATCTGCATTTGATACAGTTACGTTTACGCTGACACTTCTCATACGCACTACAGAAGAGACACATCTTTGTTTTCTTATCTCTCATTTACGCACAAAAAGGTGATGCAAGCTCAAACTTTTAATACAACCTTTCGTCCTATTTTGTTATTTTATTTGCTTCTCCAATCTCTTTTCCTCATATTTAATTTGAGTTCTTGCGTGTTACTGCAGATCTGCTGCAATGACCTAAATGCACACTAGATGTCCTCGTCAGACCACTGAGGCGTTCAGCTCCTCCAGACACGAGCGCCTGTGTGTCATCACCCCACATCGGCCTTAAAGCTCCTTACAGCCATTCAGTTGACGCCGCGCAACTCAGTACAATAACACCACGTTACAGAAGATCCAGCTGCTTCAACAACAAGTCTCTAATCTAACGGCATCTTCATTTTCCCTCAGCTCCTCTTCTCAAAGATCACGTGGGGTCCCGACTTGCTCCCCCTGGGTTCTGGAGAGATGATCCAGATGACGGGGGCTTTCATGTAGTCCTTGTCAATCATCTTGTTCTCCTCGGCCCGGGCCAACGCCTCCAGTTCGGGGGAGGTTTCTGGGCACCAGTCTGCCACGAACTTATCTTTGGCCTCACAATAGTTCACCACTACTTCCTCAGGCTGCACCCCAAACACCCAGTCTGGGAAGCATGAGAGACAGGAGAAGGGTTTACAGTCAAGGCACAACAGCCATGAATGATGATTCTCAAAAGTGAAAAAGCAGACACTCCGAGTAGACGGTCACAAACCTGCAAAGTCATGCATGAGGTCCTTGATGAGGTGGCCGATGATGGCATAAAGAACGCCGATCACGACGAGGGTGGCTATGATCAGGTAGAAGACATAGGTAGGCAGGTGGATGGCGTCCCGAGAGGGAGGAATGTAGCTCTCAAACAACACCGTCCCATCGTCTTCCGTGTAACGGACATTTAAGTTGTCCTCCATCACCTCCATTGCGGTCTGAGAGTCTTCGGAGCTGCTGTCAGCCTGGGAATCCACTTCATATCTCAGAGTCATCGCTGTAGCAAAAGAACACATGATGTAACACGATGAACATACATTATAATTCCAACTAAATGTTTTGCATGCGGAATGCGCGAATTATGACGCAGGAAAGCGATTTTCCTAATGAGAATTAACAGGATACATAAAGTAAAGGACTCACATCGATCTATGTCTAGTTCTTATAGGTCTATCCATCTATCTACCTATCTATGTCTATCCATCTATCACTCTATCTACCTGTCTATCTATATATCAATCTATCTATAGATCTATCTATCCCTCTATCTACCAACCTTTTGCTTTCACTACCCAGCCGTATTTAATATGACTAACGTACAGTAATCCATGACATTGACAAATAAGGTCACGGCCCGTCTCATATCCAGGTATTAGAGGAAGGTAAGACGGATTAAAGGACAAGGACAAGACAAAACAGCACTCTTGTTTTCCCCCGTTGTTTACTGGAGATAAGCTTAGTCCAACACAGAACAGATCAAACTGACCCGTTGTTTCTTCCCTGACACATTACAGCAACACTAGTGACAAACAGGAAATGACATACATATACACACACACATGCAATCTTAATGAGCCGTCTTGATAATTTTCATGTTGTACATATATAGTCTTATAGATACATGCATACATACTAGGTCTTAAGATTGAAATATCAGCGTATTTAATAAAATTATTTTTTACTGCACACTGACATGTTGAAAGTTACGTGGTTTATAATGACATTTTCCTATTGTTTGCAGCACACAATAATAAATATATTTGAAATGACATAATGGGACCATGTGTACATACATTTAAAATAAAGAGTTAAAGCAAGCAAAATGAGGACAAACTAAAACTTGAGCAACACGTGTTTTACATAAAACAAAGATACGTCAGTGTGATGCATCATAACTGAAAAGACCACTGATCACTACACTGAAATGAGAGAAACAACCAACAATGCTCTGAATGCTGCACCAAAGTGAAAGCTCAAAGGGAGGTGGCATACGGGGTCACGGGGCAGGAGAAGGTCACACTGTGAATGGACATTCTTTTCTCCCCGGGGTAGGACGCAGAGATGGAGCTTCTCAGCGGAGGAGGGACGGCTGGCTGATGGCAGCCTGCGTCTCCCTGGTGGAAACCGGGCAGCGGGCCGTCCTTCTCCTTTTCCATCTGCAGCTCGTCCCTCTCCAACAGTGTACTGCAAATGCTCAGTCGGTGTTCTTCTTCCATTTCTGCCCTCCCTTCCTCGGAATCAACCTCGACTGGTTTGGGGCCAAGAATCCAGTCTGTTGGGAGGAAAACGTGTTAGAATGAAAGTCAATTATTTTCTGTGACTTGTAAGTATGTCGTTTAAGGGGCACTCCTTATGTTTTTTCCATCAGGGAAGTCATGGACTTGAAAGGTCAAATTAAAGATGCTATTTTTCCATTATGTGAAATGAAGTATCCAGCGTTTTGGGGTCTAACATTTTGTTTACTTTGGCCTCCCAACTTTGAGGAGTTGCTATCAAAAATCAACAGAGTACCCTTTAATCAGCACACCGTTTAATCACATTTTCACGTTGAGGATGTAACACAGAAACCGTTGGGGAGGTTGACCTTTGCACACGAGGGTTAATGTGAAGGAGAGTCATTAAACAACATGGCCACCCAACAGGGGGAAAAGACAAAGCACTGAAGCAGCCTTGGCCCAAGATCTCAAAGAGGAAAAAAGGACTCAGAGACACCGGAGTGGAGACAGTGACGGGAAGGACACCGCAGACAGGGGTTACCTGCTAGGTCATGTAGTAGATCGTTAATCAGATGTCCCACTATGGCGTACGTGGCCACTATAACCAAAACCACCCCGACTAGGACATATAGAACATTGCGCGGCAGAGTTATAGCGTCTCTCGCCGGCGGGATGTAGTCCAGGAAATAGGCCTCCTCCTCCTCCTCCTTCGTTCTGGACAGCTGGAGGAGCTGCCTGTGCTTCAACACCAGCTGTGTGAGGTTCGAAAGCACAGCTCCTCTTGAGGCGTTTGGGGACACGACTGGTTGTTGGTTCATGGTTTTCGTTGCTCTGGTAAAGTTGTTTTGTACAAGTGGATACTGTCCTTAAGGGGTGGTGAGATCAAGGAACGCGGCGAAGCTCTGGGGCTGATTTATTGTCTTTGTGCAGATCCGAGCTTCTTTACTGCACTGTGAAAGGTTGCATCAGAGACGAGGGTGGTCAGTGAGATTTTAACACTTGCTGAGGGCTGGAAAGATGGATGTGTGACAGATGGTTGGGAAATGAGATCATGGTTTCTTGTGAGTGACGGCTCACAAAATGGTGCTTCAGAAAATCTAGCTCAACACGGAAGAAAACTGGGAGATCATAAGCGTGCATCTTTTTGTCTGGGCTCCAATTTTCCCTTCTCTCGTGTTTAGGGATCAGGGCTCTCGGGCCAAACAGGGGAGCGAGGAGTGTGAGACGGAGAGGTGAATATGGGACAGAGTTAATAGGATTGAGTCTGTCCGAGGGCAATATCAGCTTTCCATCTGTAGGGATTAGAGATATGAGCGAGCAAAGAGGCTTACGGTCCTCCATGACCAAGTTGCAAATATATATATATATATATATATATATATATATATATATATATATATATATATATATATATATATATATATATATATATTTAGAGTGAAAGAGATGTATGCATTACAGTAAACCCAGTTTATCTTGGTTTTAAAGTGGCATCACTCGATGGAATAGCTCATGCTTTGAAATATTTAAGCACAGCAGGTCTACTTTTATATTCTGTAAATATCCTGTCACATAATTCACTGATTTGACACTTTATTCTCATGGCTCTTTTCTTACCGACAGAGCAGATGCTTATATTTCAAAATGCAACCAGTAACTATCAATTGGAAACTACATCAATTGGCAAAGAACAAACATATCGACTCATTCTAAGATGAGGAATGAGGAATGTTTAAATTAAAAGGAACTAATTTAGATGAAATTATGAAGTATTAGGATTCTACAGTTTTATGACTCCTTACCTTGTAGGCAAGACTTCAACTGCTCCATAGATTTTTTCTTTGTAAATGAAAGGACTTCCAAGTTGGCGTGGCATGTCGTACACAAACGGCTCTGCAAATAACCACAAACAGTCCAGAAGTTAAAGTCATGCAAACAAAAAGGTGACTGTTCGATCAGAGCAAACCTAAAACAAAAAGAAACACCGTCAATGATGAAGGCAGGTAGTCAGGGATCCAAAAACCAGCTCTCCTCCTCTCAGATCTTGTCGGTGGAGCTTCAGGATGTAGATTGTCTCCTCTACTCTTGAGATTTATTGTCTTTTGGTGGCTCGGGAACTTTGCAAAACTGAGAAACAAGAAATTGCCATTCTATGATGGTGATGGCAATACTCGCAAAGATGATGAACCAGGAGACCGGGTGCAGACCGTAATAGAAGACGTGTGTCATGTTGTGTAAAAGTTTTTAAAAGTATTATAAACTGGAAAAACGAGTCTTCCCGTAAACAAATCACCAGATGAAGGAAAAATCAAATCGGAGGAATGGTGGTAACGCAAAAGCAGTGTGGTGTCTTTGGATAGGTCTTTCTGAATGAGACGGTCAGGAGATTCCGTCTGTCTGTGTCACCATCAAGGTGCTCTTCAGTAATCTATGGCAGGATTTGCTTGACACGGTCGCTGTCACCGGCAACACCTGTTTGTCTGAGTCAGCAGGTATCAAAGCAGAAGACGAGACTCCATTCAGCATCACCAGAAGAATATTACATTTTCACCAGCTGATTCACACTGTGCGTCTCAAATCCAACAAGACCACCACCACATAAGCCAACACACAATTCAATGGATTTCCCTGCACCAAAGTTTTAGATAAATCTTGGACGTTACCTGTAAGACAGTTTTTCTCTTTCGATTGCAGGATCCATTCAGTTGAGTAAAAAAAAAAATGGAAGTTAGTTTCAGTGTCCCCTCAAAGTGAAAAAGAGAGCCGATCAGTTGCTAAATCAGACGCCCCAGAAAGCACTAGAAGCTGGACGGCTGATGCTCACTACGCAAAATAGTAACCCAATAATGAAGTCAGTCCATATTGACTGTGGCTCTTTCAGGCTGGGGTGACCAGCTTCTTGGGTTTGTCTTCTGGCTCCGTGAGCCACCTGAAGTAAGCATCACTCAGCATGAAGGCCCAGTAGATGATGGTCAGAGAGGTGTTCACGGCCACAATGCCGATGACCAAAGGGTGCATCATCGCTGCAGACTAGGAGGACTTCTTTAGGAATCCGTGTCACCTCAAAAAACTGGTGTCTCTTGTGTCTGCTGGGTAGGCGAAGATCGTCCGTGTGTTCTGATGTAATCGCCTCGCAGTCCCTTTCTCCTCTAGACTCCCCACCCCTCCTCTCCTCTCCCCTTCTCTCCTCTCCCCTTCTCTCCTCTCTCATTCCCCCGGCCACTAAGTTTCTGTGGCAGCAGCGTAATCCTCTTCAGCCGCTGCGTTACCGAGGATGAAGTTGCATTAGACACAGTCCCACTTTACAAATGATCATCCACAAGTGTCTCATTCGTTCCAATATACAGTTAAAAAAAAAAAAAAAAAAAAACGGGATAAGATGGTATTTTGTAAATAAACTGTGCAGGAAATGTAACAAAGATTAAAACAACACTGAGAAAAAAAAGAAAGAAAAAAAAACATAATCCTCACTGTGAACTTTCTTTTCTCTTTCAGATATAATCCAGAAACTAATCAAGACTGGAGACATCAGACGAAGGAGTTCTTAATCTTTCCCCAAACAGAACAGATGGCTCCTCAGAGCCCAACGGGGCCACGGGAGTCCAGACAACACTGCACATTGTGCAGCGTGACTCTCATGTGTGTTACTGGTGCAGACACATCTACCAACAGTCCACGAACCGGGTAAAATCAGAAAGCAGAGGCGCAACTGTAGCAACAAAAGGCCATCGGGGACAATGACAGCAATAAAAACCCGATTGGTCCACCAGGGGGCGGTCGGGACAAGCAGTCACGGACCGCGCAATGGCACCAGGTTGTCTCCTTGGAGCGGTCTCCTCGTGACCAGCGCAGTCGTCCTCCTGATTGCACAATCGATCGCAGCCAGAAACGCCGAAATCACGCGCAAAGTCCGCCGTGCGCCCTTTGCGCGAGCTCCCGTTGAAGCTGCTCTCGTGAGACGTGACTCCTCCCGTGTTGAACTTTGGGACCCACGAGAGAGCCAACGCGTCAGCGGCCCCGGGGTGTGTGTGTGCGCGCGTGTGTGTGTCGTCACGGGTTAAAAAGGCACCACGGATCGGCGTCAAGGACCCTTTCCTTTCATCGACCCGCTTCCGTCCGGGGCAGCGAGGGGGACACCGGCTTCTGACATGTCTCCGTCCACCAGCACGCGCGTTTATTTGTAAAAGAAGTGAGCAGGACATCGTGTGAGCGATGAGGCCGCCGGTGGAAGTCTGCGTTTGGCTCCTCTCCCTGTTGGCTCCTGGAGTTCTGTACGCCATGAACAACGTGCCCGCGCTTCAGGAGTGAGTGTGCACGCGGAGGGCCAAGTGTGTTTAAAAGGCTTTTAATGGGGCCCGCAGCCTGAGGGGACATGCTATTTATTTATTTATTTATTATTTTAGCAGAGGTGACCTCGGTTTAAGCTGTTGAGTTTCCTAAATCCAAGGAGGATCCGAGGAGAATGTAACTTCTTATATTAAATGTAAAAAAAAAAATGGTGATGATCCTTTTATCTTCCACAAACTCCTCAGTATTCACCATCCAATTGATCCACGTAGCTGTACTTTCAAAAGTAAAGAATTCACAATTTAGGTTGTTTACTATTCAGGCTTTTTTGAATGTAGGAAAAAACGTTCTAAAATGGAGGAAATCTTTTATCGTGTTGATGAAATTGTTCTACAACTCATAATCCCTCATTTCTACCCTGCTGTTTTCTGATGAAAGTACTGTGGAATATAACTAAGAGTTATTTTTGTTCTTGTCTAATTTGCTGAGTTATTTCTATGATATGATCATTTGCAAATTGGCGTGTGAACTCCCACCATCCCTCCTCAGACCTCTTCCTATCCTTGGAATGGGAATGGTCGTCCTGGGATTTGTTCTAATCATCATCCTCATCTCTGTGCCGAGCAAAATGAAAGTGGACCCCTTGTTCTATGGTACGACCACACAAACACAGACTTGGACATCTAAAGGTACAGTAACTATGTTGTTCTTTCATTGTGCCTCTTTGTGTCGGTTCAGTCTTTGCAGCGTTTTCCTTCACCTGCATGGTGGGCCTGACTAACGCTTTAGAGCAGGACGGGTTCATCTCCGGCTTCATGGGTTTCTACATAAAGTCGGTAAGAGGACCTGTGCCGAGCGACGCCTTTCCCCTCGTTGCCTGAGACAACTTCTCAATAATTGTTTGCATTTTTAAACTTTTATCCGTCTAACGTAAAAACTCCTCATATGACGCATATGTTTCTCTAGGGCGAGCCTCACCTGGGCTCCGCCTACGCTGTGATGACGTCTTACTGGGAAGGCGTCATTCACTTGGTCCTCTTCCTCACCATCATCCACCGCATGTTCAAAGGGTAAACCGGCGGCATCCTCACCGGAAAAACCCGTCCGCTGTGTGTTCAGCGAGTCCTCTAACTGAACATGCGGCCTGTTTTCTGTCCACGCAGGACGTCCTATCGTAGCCTGGGGCTGCTGTGGGCCGGCTCATCCGTCGCCCATCAGGTGGTTCACATCCCAGGAGTGGTCGTTGGTGAGAGCCGCCCACGTCTGACTCCTCACGGCCTCCGCGTTGTTGTTGTTGTGCCTGTTTCTGTTACGGTTCTTCTCCTTTTCGCTCAGGTAAATACGGGTCTAACATCCGACCTGCCTTTTGGAGGAACGTCCCCTTCTTTTTGGTGACTTTCTGGGCGGCTTGTCAGCTCTTTAGCCGACCCAGAGAGATTCCCGTCATCCCCGCAGACAAGGTAAAGACATTCATGGTACCATGCGTATCTATGGAGAACTGAAGGATGCACACAAACTCTGGCCGAGGCTTGAATCATCCCTTAAAGTCATTCATGTGCTGAGACGTGGAACATTCACTGAGGTTTTTCCTCCGTCGACTAGATTGCAGCGGAGCAGAAGAAAGGTCTGCTGTCCCGACCCGTTGACCTGCTTCTATCTGCGCTGCTTCTTGCAGCAATGGCCTTCTCCGTTTTCAGAGGCCTTGTGAGTGAAACCACGTGGAAGCTTTTACATCTGTCCAACATTTCTGCTTCTGAACGAACTCCCCGAGACACAAGGTCACACGGGGGAGCAGGGATGCTATAACGCGCTGCTGCTGCTCTGCTCCAGGTGGTGCTGGACTGCCCTCTGGATGCCTGTTTCACATACATCTACCAGTATGAGCCCTACCTCAAAGACCCGGTTGGCTTTCCAAGGGTTATGGTTCGTCTGGAGAGAAGCACACCACATAAACCCAGTTGCGGTCAATATCCTGGTTCAAAATGATGATTTCTTTTTCGTGCGCATCACTTCCGCAGATGCTGGTCTACTCGTTCTATGCGCTGCCGCTACTCACCGTCTTCACCTGTGGTCTGAAAACGCCAGGATGCACCTGGATGTTGGACTGGACCATCTTCTTTGCCGGGGCCATGGCTCAGGTAACCCGTCTTTTACCTCTTTGCCGCTGTTTATATCCCTTGAAAAAGCCACATCCCGCACTGAGGCTGACCTTCCTCCTGCTGTTTTCTCAGACCCAGTGGTGCCACATCGGAGCCTCGCTGCACTCCCGCACTCCCTTCACCTACCGAGTCCCAGCGGACAAATGGTGGCCGGTCATCAGCCTGAATGTGCTGCTGGCCGTCGTGCCGGTTCTGCTGGCCCTGCGCTGCCACATCAGTCCCGCTTATTTTATGAAACCTGTTCCCGAGGGACAGACCGACAAGGACAAGAAGAAGAACTAGACCACACACACACACACACACACACAGTCACACACACCAGCTCTGGACTGATGAGGGAGGCGTCGCCCTGAGACGCGGCTCGTGATTTCTGCGGACGCTCTTTCGCACACAAACTAAAATAAATGCATTTTTCAACCAAACACCCAAAGGAAATCCCCAAACATTTCTTTTCTGAGTCACCTGTCGACACTAAGTTACCTGCTGCAGCAGCAGCAGCAGCAGCAGCAGCAGCACTCCCTACATGAACTATTGGACTCTGATAAGAAGGCTGTCGATGGAGTTTGGGACTGACATCAGCTTTCAGGTGACTCATGCAGATATCCAGTTTCTTTTTCCAAACTAAGACTCTTAAACAGGATTACACCGTTTGGCCACACAACTGTAAAGTAACCGTCATGGTTATACATCCTTCTATCTACACAACAACTTGAAGTTTATTTTTACTCTTCTAAAATGGTGAGTTAGCTTCGTTCCAATACTGAGTAGCTTTTTGAAGGAAGAAGCTCCGCTCAGTGCTTAAAGGCTGAATAACTAACACAAGCTTTTTGATAATAAATCAATCAGGGGGAGAATTAGAAGAAGAAAATACTCCAACTGTTGGCTTTTTTTATACTGTCTAAGATATTTGTTGATTCAATTACCAAAGACCAACATGAGATCTTCACGTTGTTTGTTTTGACCGACCAACATTTTAAAAACCCAACGATATTCTATTTACAATTCCATGAAATGGAGAAGAACGGCAAATCCTCAAACTTAATAGATTATCAAAATGTCTTTTGTCCATTAGATTCATCAATCAGTTCTAGATGTTTCTGCATCAGTCTTGTTGTTTTTTTATGTTCTGTGTGCCACATTCTTTTGTAGAATAAATAAAAATTGGGAGTGTTTTTTTAATTAAAATAGGACACAGATTATGTGAGCCAGGTGTCTATGAATGTCTAAGCTGGAGTCTGTCTGCACTTGGATCTACTGTTCTAACCGGAGCAGATTGTGCCTCAGAGGTTTGTCCTGCTGGCCGAGTTCGCTCTTCTGTTTCAGTCAAACTGATAAGATGTGAACCCTGGATTTAGGTAAGCGACAACCGCACAATGATCTCGTGACACGTTGGTAAGCCGTCCTCGGAGGTTGTGGGCTGAAATTCCCTTTTTATAATTTAAATTTACAAAAAGTTCATTCTTTTAACACATTTTCCCATTGGAATGTAGTTCGTTTTTAGACCAATATGTAGAAAAACACTGCATAAAAGTTGTTTCTAAATACTAAAAATAGCCAATAATTAATTAAACATAAATAGAACCAGATAGCAGAGAGACTGCCTGGACTCACCATGTTATGATAAATATAATATAAATCCAGTTCAAACAGAGCTGAAGAACCACGGTTAAATCTAGTTTGGATTGACAGTTAAGATTTCTCTAAATGTATTTATTTACATGCAACACTTAAATATTTTTGATATCGGGGCATTGTAAGTGCTCATTTGAATTTTATTTCTGCTGTATTTTCTTATATAGAGTATTTTATAGTTCATCCTCTGGACCACACATACCTACTAAATGTTGTGTTAAGCCATCTTGTAGACATATTGGAGTCGCATCAATGTGTTGGCACTGCTAATAAAATATGCGTGTTTGAAGCTCGAAAACACTTTTGGGTTGGCTTGAAATAAAATAAATTTTTAAAAAAATCTGCAGAAATGTTGTTCTTTTTCTAACTTTATTAAGAATGGAATACAACAGCAGAACAAAAAGTCATAAGAACACCAAAGAGTGAATGACTGATCAAATATCAAAGGGCCCAAACAGACAAAACAAATTGGACGTATTACCTATCAGGTAAATATAGCCGTGCAAAGACTGAAAGTATTTAGCAATTCAGATACAATCAAGCGGTTATCTCAGGAAAGTATTGTGTAATCCGTCATCCTCACTATGTCTATTGGAAATGTTCACTAGCCGAGAGGGCGAGACATGGTCAAGCCATTGATCAGTGACCAGGCAAAATACAAACACCACAATATATACAGTACAGAGATAAGACGCAATCCAATGATTCATTTAATTTATTGTTGACTTTGATTTATATACTAGTGTAGAAAAAAGGATGTTACATTGGCTCTCTGGAGTGTAAGTTTAAAAGGAAAGCATACTCACTATCAAACAATTCATAATAAATAGCAACGTAACACGAATATAGCAAATATTAGAAGAAGCAAGTCAGTAGAGCGAAACAAACTATTCAGGGTCTCAATGGGAAAAGAAACAGCTACAGTACACATAGAAAAGGGTCACCAGGGACTGAATGCTAACTCGCTTCCATTACATCTGTGCTTCGCTAACAGAATACTAAGAGGATTTCTCCTGTAGAACAAGCAAATCTTTTCACCAAAATAAAAGTTACTCTACACTTTTCTAAGTTTCTGTCTTACGCGCACACAAACGGCCGTTAGTCTGACCAACAGAGGGGCTTTTAGTTCAGAGACAGGAGGAGGATTGACTGTATTGAGATGTTCGGTGGGGAGGCGTTGATGACAGTTAGTGTTCGCATGGACCTCGGTTAAAGGAAGCAGGTTGAAAAAAAAAGCCTTGAAACACTCGAAGCCAAGGACGAACCTTATAGAGATAGACTACGTTAGTGTAAGAAAGACCTTATTCGTCAGGGTAAACAACGCAGAGCGGAGCGCGGTTAGAAGTAGGACGAGGAATGGCGATGATGTGGACTACTGTCTTTCTTATGGGCCATGGCGAGCACCCAGCCATTGAAAAGCGTTGTATTATTTGGTTCAGTAGTAGCTGTGTGCGTCCTCTCGGGCCTTGTGTCCCTCTCCTCCGTGTCTCCTGTGGCCGCGGCGCTCGTTGTGCTGGTTGTGGTGGTGACGTCGGTAACGTTGGGACCGCCGGGCTGAAAGAGGAGGGAAGCAAACAAGTTTCATGTTTAATACAAAGTGTACTACCTGCACAGCTACGATACTGTGAGGAATAGATCGACTGACTGACTTAAGGCTGATTGAATATCAGAGATATTAAAAAACTGACAAGAAATTGGCAGATCGCTGCAGTGTAAATTGATCTGTATTTGAATATAATATTACAAATAAAATACATCATTATGATTCCCCAAAGGTATTCCCCATAACGGACACAAGGTAATAAAAGGTGATCGGATGATTCAGAAATGGATTATAAATTATTATTAACTGTTAGTGCCGATCTTTAGCCTCCAACCAGATAATAGTAAAAGTCGGGGCTCAATAGTAACAGTTTTCAAGTAGCAACTGGCAACAAGTTCTCGGCCTTTTGTTGCTATCACTGGTAACCACATTTAACATCAAAAGTCCAAAAATAAGTCCATAAATAAATAAAGACATATTTTAAATATTAGATTGCTGCTCAGTCAAAACCAGAACCAGACAATGCTGCACATGTATTTGTGTGTCCATAAGCATCTTTTTGAGAGACAATGGCAAAGTAAATGAAGCAGTTTGAAAGTGTAGTGAAAAGATTACCTAAACCGTCAACATCTCAAACAAATCTGCAATAGATTCGATACACAAAGAAAAATATCTGTGTGTTCATGGTGGCAAATCATCCCGCCATCTATTAGCTTTGTGTGGTGATTCAACAAAAACCACGTAAAAAATGTTTTTGTTCTACTCAAATAAAGCTCCTATTCTATTATGTTAAATTCTGTTTTCGGGAACCAAGGGTCGATGTCTGGTTGAGTCCGACGTCGCACACTCACACTTTGTGCAGATGATCCTGGGTCTCTCCCAGCTGCCGTCGGCCCGGCAGCGAGCGGTGGGGATGTGGCGCTGGAAGAAGCCCTCAGAGCACTGGTAGCGTACCACCGCGTGGATGTCATAATGTGACCTTCGCCGACCTATCAAATGGGCGTCCTCCACCGCGGGCGGAGTCCCGCACAACACTGCAGGATATAATAAAATAAAAAAACACATTGCATTGATGAGAGGTACATACAGTATCTATTTCCCATCAATCCAGAAATGCATACGGTGCCAAAAGTGTGTATGACCCTGTATGATGAAATACTCAGTATATAATAAGTATATAAGTGTCAACCCATTAGCCTTTTGTCTTTTAAGGGCAGACACAACCAATATTAGTGCGTTGTCTATTGACCATATTCAATAAAGCCTCTAGATGGCAGCCTTGTTGCTCTATCTTCTGATCTGAAGCGAGGCCAGAGGGAGCTAATGTGTCTCTGCAGCAGACAGGGAGTCCATTCACAGAGGCATGAGGTCGCAGCCGGACACGTAATCTTCTCCCCGTGTTTTCCTCCATCTTAATCCATCCTTTCTAACTCCCGAACATCAACCGTCTCTCCAGCGCGTTCCTGTCTTCAGCTTTCTTTGCGTCCTACAAGCTCACGCTGCATTCACAGGGGTCAAAGACGGAAGGTGTGGGACGGCTCTCAAACAACTTGGCAAACCGGCCTACTTCAGATCTTTGGACAACGTGGTAATTGGCAATAACTGGAAGTCTGCCCGCCTGGAGGAGTGTAAGAGAGCCCAAAGGAGAGTTGACAATAAGCAAAAGACTGAGATTGGTGTTGGTCTGGAAAATCAATATGAGTTTGACACTAACTCACAATCTTCACTGACGTTTGTGTTTCTTTTAAATTTTTTGGGTGCATCTGTGGCTTAAGAGAGAAACCATGAAAATGACCAACCGCTGAATCAAGAGCACAAGAACCAATGATAAGCAGTGATGACTAACAGGGGACCAGCTGGTCTGTTAAGTAAGAAAACACGATCACAACGTATGAAGACAGAAAAGGTCTCCACTGATGAAAGGATTAAGCTCTGATTTGACAAGAAAGTCCTAAATGTGCAAAATAAGCTTTCATTCATTCAGACATTTCACGTTCTGTTTGCTTCGATATGAATCCTGCATGATTTCAGTACCGGTGCCCTTCTTGCAGATGTAGGGCAGGTTGTAGTTGCAGGGAACGTCGTTCCACTTCCCGTCCTCATGGGCAATGGTCACCACACAGTCCTCCCCACCAGCAAAGAAGTTGTCTGGCTGGCTCTCCCTCCAGTTCTCATAAACCTGCACAACAGTAAAACAGTTGGTAGCAACGTGTCAGCAACGTCCGTCAGCGATCTTTGAATACTTTGAAATGAATGCCTTCTGTTACATTGCACATTTCATTTCACAAACAGCGACACAATCGCAAAAACGTAGACAAATTTCCTCTGAGCACTGATGACCACTGATGAACTAGGAGCAATGGAACTTAATGAACACTGAAAGTGTTAAAATGTCTGTTTGTGTCCTCCAATGCCTTCTTCATACTGGTTTGAAATACTGAAGATTTAGCAGCATAAATCTGACGGGTTGTTTGCAGCTGGAAGGCTGCTATCCTCTAAACAATTTGATCAATTGTTTTGTACTTATAATCAATAGTTACCGATGTTTTCTTTATAATTAAACAGACTGGAGGTGAAGATTCTCACATAACAGCACGATTCAACGGTCACTGACCAGCTCGTTGCTATCGGTCCACTGAAAGTCTTCCTCCACTGTGCGGTCGTTCAGACCGATCCAGGCGTTGTCGTGGCCCAGACCTGCAGAAGACAACAGTTGATACACTCATCTGTTTTAATTCTCCCTCTTGTTTGTTCCACCATCTGTGTCATTACTATATTTTGTCATACATCGATTTAAAAAAACAAACAGGAAGTGCCGATGAATAGAAGTAAAATGAACTTATATGCGTCACACCTCGTCTTTGCTTTACCAGATGTATGCTGCGTGTTTATTTCATGTCATTTTATTTTGTTTCTGAATATTCATTCAGCATTCAAGTATCTTATATGTACCGTAGGTTGCTCATGTACACAGAAATACACACATACCATTGATGA